GAAAATGAATGACATAAAAAACAAAAATAAAAGATAGAGAGAATAGTAAAATAGAAAATATATCGTGTAGGGTTTGAAAATTGTCTGAAATTTTTTATATAAAGAGAAAAACTTGCATGAAAACGAATCTAAATTCTTATTCTTAGAAACAATAAATAAAAAATAGAGAAAATTTTAAATTTATTTTAAATTTAATTTATTTTTTAATTGGAATCATGAGGTGGTTGTGATAACGAAGGAGAGAGAATATTTTATTTTTATTTTTTAATTAATAAAAAATTATGATTGATTGTTTGTAAAGCCAAGTATTATGTTCGTATCTATCTAAGTTTTTTCTTTATATAAAACATATACCAGCTCCTTGTTATCATCTATTCTATTCTGCGTTCAAGTTGAAATTTTAAGCACACTACTTTAACATCAATGATATGCATCTTCTTCACACACCTTTCATCTCATCCATCTATTTACTTATTCTTAGTTCATAACTGAACTCATTGTGTTTCGTTTGTTTGAACAAGGCAAACTCAAGTGTAGTTGCTGCTAAAGAAGAAGAAGAAGAACAAAATCTCACTCTTTATGAATATTGGAGAAGTTCATGTTCATTTTGTGTCTGAATCGCTCTCAACCTCAAAGGTACTATCTCACTCACTATGTACAAACTTTATGAACTAAGAATAGGTAAATGTATGGATCAGATGAAATGCGTGTGAAGAATATGCATACTATTGATGTTAAAGTGGCGTGCTTGAACTTTCAACTTTTAGGCTCTATTTTGCGGTTTCGATCATTAAATTCCCCAAATTTTCATAGAAGGTCATTTTATTTGCATTTAGTTGTGGTGTCTTTAATATGTGTGTTAGTATGCAAAAAAATGTTGCAAGAAGCCAAAAATGAAGTCACAAAACAAAGAAAAAGACACAAAAGCAATAATGGGAAATTCAGCAAGCTCGCCTAGCGAGAAGGTGGAGAATAGGGGGTGAGCTCGCCCAGCAAAGTTAGGGCGAGGGAAAGTTGGAGAATTCCAGTGACAAAAGTTGGCATGGTCACTTGGCAAGGGTTTTTGGTGAGATTTTGCTGGGCAAGGCTTTGGTCGCTGGGAGAGACATGATATTTTTCTCAAGGGCGGTTTGACACTTTTTGCAGGCAGAAGGGTGTGTGAAAAAGGTGGATTCACTGGGTGAAGCTTTGGTCGTCGAGCGAGACATATATTTACAAATTCTATAAATAGGACCAAAATCAGATTTTTTGGTAACTTCTTGATCTTGGGACCCTAAAAAATTTCTGATTTTTTGGTAAAAGAACTCATAATCATTTAATCGGATTCGAACATGCAACCTTTGTCAATTATTTTACTTGGATGCTTATTCATCTCTTTTTATTTCTTGTGAAGCAAGCTACATTGATGTATAGCTAAACCTCCCTTGTGTCAAGATTAGATGTAATTAATCTAACTAGCATGTATTTATTTTGATAATTTGTATGTGAGCAAATTAATGATCAATATAGATGATTATATTTGCTTTTATGTTATATTTATGGTTTGAATCATTGTTGAGAAATATCTTTAAGGTCTTGACTTAAATTTTCATCTACCAAAGACCAAAGTCTAGACATAAATTTGGAATTTGATATTCATTTTGTATCAAGTGTTAATGTTATTGTATTGTTTAATAAGTTGAAATATCGTCGATTAAACAATACAATAAAAACTGCAATATCGGTTAGACATAAGCGATATTGATGGGTGATACGTGGTTATATTAATTATAAATGAAGTTCACATGCTAGATTAATCGAATACATATGAAATCGGTTGATGAACTCTAATGTTGACATGCTTTTTAAACGTTAATTTTCATAATCTTTTAAAGTTGTTACTAATTCTAGTGAATGTTTCTTTTCACAATCAAAAACCATTTTAAAATCTTACTTAAAACATTGTTAACAGTAGAACGGAGGTGATATCGCACTAATCCACGTGGATACAATTAAACAAATACTTGTCCCACTAAAAAGTCTTTCAACAGTAACCTGGAGCGAAACGTTCATCATAGTTGTAACAAAGTCCTTTTAACTTTCTTGCCTGCATTTCAGGGCGGAAAATAAGGAAGGTTGATGGATTCTGTGGTGATGGTAGATGTAATCTAAAGGGTGGGGCTGGTAGTACAGGTGGGCATGGAGGGTTGGGGTTTTGAGGTGGTATTGTTCGAATTAGAACACGTCGGCTACAAATTGGGAATGTTTGGTGCAAGGCTGTTATTTTGGATTCTACCAATTTAGCAAGACCAATAGCTTCAGAGGCTGAAGTTGGTTGTAAGATTGCTAGCTCACATTCTATTTTTGGTCTGAGTCATGAGATGAAGCAGTCTTTGATAGCAGTCTATGAAAGTCCAAAAACACAATTACGAAGCATTTCAAAAGCTTCCTGAAACTCTGATCACAGGGCCTGTTTGTTTCAATTTGAATAGTGCTTGTTGATGAATTTGGAACATCGACGGTCCGAAACAAAGTTATATGGCACGAATGAAAGCATCTTAGGTGGAGATTAAGTTATTGTTATGAAGCCATTAAAACCAGCCCAAGGCATCACTAGACATGTATAATTCGATACATGATAATCTAGCATGTGGTTAGATTCCATAATGAGTGAACATTAGTTCATCTTGAAAGATCCAATCAAGAGGGTTTAAGTCATCAAAGGGTTGCAGTTGCAGTTTAGGTTGATGAATGATTGGATTAGGTGATGATGTTGATGGACTGGGGGTTGGGGTTGGTTGTTGTTGTAATTCTAGAAGCTGGTTTTGTAATATTTTGTATGGGTTGTGATTGATTTTCATAGCGAGTGTCTTGTGTGAGGCAAAAATCTGGTGAACACAGTGGTCAGTTGCTGTAATGATTCTAAAATCTGAGAAATATTTTGTTGTCTAGTCATGGTGTTCAGTGATGAAAGCACCAAATGTTACTTTAATGATAAATTGAATTCCCCCAATGAGGGAAAGCCTAAGAAAAAGAGAATTCGATTGATAATGTCTGCTTTCTATTACATTCTTGTTTTTCTTTTATAGGCAAAATTCTAACGATATTTGATCAACTTAGATAGTTGTCACTAATTTCTTAACGATAAGGCTATAACTCATATTTTGTCTTTATTATAATTTGACTATTTCTAGATCCTTCTCTTACTTGTAATAGGCTGGTTTCTTAATTACTCTTTTGGACCTGATGTAGATTTCATCCTGTGGCCCATTCTTCATTTGATCCGTAATATTGAGCTTTTGAGGGTTGAATTTTTTCTTCATCCTTTCTCCAGTTCAGATTTAGTACAAACCTAGGGTCTCTTTACATGATTTTCATTAAGAATGAAATTATATATACATATCCCAAATTGTGGCTGTTTGATTTTTACTGAAGCTTGACTTTTTTCAGAATCAAGAGAAATTGATATTAATTCAAAAACCAGATACAACGGCAAGGCGATCACAAGAGATCCAGTCAACAAAAAATATAAAAAGAAGATTAGAACTATCTTATAAGATTAGCGATATAAGATTTAGTCTCTCACTATACCACCCCTTATAAATAATAGTGTCAATAATATTATCTACTATTTTTAATTTTTCTACACGAGTACCAAAACAAGTGTCATTGCGGAACCGCCACACATCATAGATAGTTTTCGTAACGGTAACTCAAAGGATAGAGGTTCTCCAACCTTTCCCTTTGCAATTGGAACTAATCAAAAGAAATTCATCTAACCAATAATTAGGAATACGGCTAATTTGAAGCCAAGACAACACCTTCATCCAAATATTCCTTGTTTCAATGCAATAAAAAAATAAGTGGTCTATGGTCTCATCACAGTCACTGAAACTTGACTTTTATTTTTAATCATATGTATTTATGATTGGTTGTGATGCAATAACCAAGTAAAAAAATTTGTACTGATAATACATAACAATTAACCTTTTTTTAAATAATTTAAATTTTAATCAAATCAGTGTTTTAAAAATCAGACTGAATCGGCCGGTCGAACTATTTGAATTGGGAATCAAAAGAGTCATCAAACTAGTTGACTCAAATATAAAATTGAACCAGTAAAAATGGACTATAACGGATAAACCGGTAAACCAATGGTTTTGAAAATCTAACATGTTAATTGCATGATTTTTTTTCAGCCAAAGTGACGTTAGTTTGATAAAAAAATTTTAAACAATAAATTAAATTAAATTTTGTTCCATATTTATTTAAAATAACTTTGTCTTAGACCGTTCAAAATTTATTTAAATTTATTTAGAATTTTAATTTAAATGATAATCATTTAAAATTACGATATTTTAAAATTTTAAAAATATAATGATAATTTTTTTAAAAATCAATCGATTTAATAAATATATAGTTTTGTTATATAGACTAATTTATTCAACTAAATTATTCCATTCAATTATACCATTTGACCAATAATCAATTGATTTGACTAATAAACTAATAACACATTATCCTCATTTATTTAATAACCAATTGAATTTTTAAAACATTACATTAAACAATTATACCGACATTTTCCTTACTTATTTAATAACCGATTGGATTTTTAAAACATTAAATAAAACAATTAGGCCGAAATGCCACATGGCCACTAGCCTGGGCAATGCCCCGAGTCTATGCGGCTCTCTCCTCCGTGGTCCTAGCACATGCCACTATACATTTATGATAAAATCTCTATTCCGTTTATTACTAAGTGATAGAGAGTTTAAAAAAGAAAAATTACATTTGAAGACAAAAAATAAAAAAAAAGATGGGTTTATTACTTTATTTGGTGTATTTTAAAAATGAGTGACAAAAATAAAATATAGAGAAAGTAGTAAAATAGAAACGTATCGTGTACGGTTTGAAAATTTTGTCCGAAATCTTTATATAAAACATACACCAACTCCTTGTTATCATCTATTCTATTCTGCTTTCAAGTTGAAAGTTTACGCACGCCACTTTTACCATCAATGGTATGCATCTTCCTCATACTCCTTTCATCGATTCCTTCATAACTCAACTCACTATGCTTCCTTTGTTTTAACAAGGCAAACGCAAGTGTAGTTCTTGCTAAAGAAGAAGAAGAACAACACAATCTCACTCTTTATGGATATTGGAGAAGTTCATGTTCCTTCCGTGCCCGAATCGCTCTCAACCTCAAAGGTACTCACTCACTCTCATTCATCTAATCACTTCTAGTTTATTAACAATCTCTTACAACTTTTCATTCATTCATTGATTCAGGTCTTAAATATGATTACAAATCAATTAATCTCTTGAAAGGAGAACAAACTCATCCTGGTTGATTAATCTCTTTTCCCTATTATCAATTACAACAACATTCTCTATTTTATTAATCTTTTTTTTTAACTTCATTTTCAATTCTTCAGAGTTTCTTCAGCTTAACCCTGTTGGTTTTGTTCCTGTTCTCGTCGATGGCGATTCCGTCATTTTCGACTCTTTCGCCATTATTATGGTCATTTTCTTTCACTCTACGCTTTCTTTCATTTATCTCTTCATATTCATGATTTCTATCTATGCACGCAGTATTTGGAGGATAAATATCCTCAACATCCTTTGCTTCCTACTGATATTCACAAAAGAGCAATCAATTTCCAGGTACAATCCCAAATTAAGCTAATTAGGATCATAGTATATCAATTTTGTATTCAAATTACAATTTCATTATTCTGTTGTAAATTGTAATTCATGTTCTAGGTTATTTCATCCTTAATTTAAAAATTAAGCTGTAACTGAATTTCCTTCTAATGATTTCATTTGCAGGCTGTTAGTATTGTTTCTTCATCAATTCAACCTCTTCATAACTTAAACCTTCTGGTAGTATGTTTTTCACCTCTTTTTCTTCTAATTTTAAGCTGTTCTTTGTTTTTTGAAAGGGGAAAATGGATGAAGTAACTGTTCATTGTTAATTTGCTTTTTCTATTTGCAGAAGTACATCGAGATAAATGTTGGCCCGGATGAAAAACTTCCATGGGTCCAGAGTGTAATTAGAAAAGGCTTCACAGGTGAGATTAGACTAATTTTCTCACCAATTGCTTTAGAGATGGATTAATAATGATTGTAGCAGAAGATAACCGATCATTTAGAGAACAATGTATACTTTCTCAATTTTTACTTCAGAGATCCTTTTGGTCCAAAACTGAAAAACCAAAATTTTCATCTAAAATGGCATGGAAATGGGGTGGTCCTCGTTAATTTTGTTCCAATATGTGTATCATACTACTCTTTATCCTTATTCGTGGTTCTACAATATTAGATTTTGTTAATTTCTTAGTCGAACACATTGAGGACTACGTTTTTAATAAACATTTGGATTATTAGAAAATAACAAGAGAAACCAAAATAAGGGACATATGATGGATGACATTTAATCTTTTAAGTCATCGTAAGTTGGTAGTTCGTGAGATTATATCAACCAATTGTATTGTTGATAATAAATATTGATCTCCATCAAGACCACAACTGTTTTGATAGGTCAAAGGCATAGCTAGAACATTTGGTAGCTTGAGCATTCAAGTCTTGATTATCTTTTAACAGACTAGCATATATTGTTAATAGTTAAGAAAATGTTCACTTTGATAAGAAATATTCTGCCTATGTTATGTCCTTCCTTACTACATGCAAATTTAGGTGTGTTGTCGGCTTAATCTAATCTATAATCTACAATGTATTTCCCCTGGAATGTGTTTCAGCACTTGAAAAGCTATTGAAAGAACACACTGGGAGATATGCTACTGGAGACGAAGTTTGCATGGTATGTTGCAAATCATTGGAGTTTGTTTGTTTGAATCTAATAAAACGAGTCAATAAATCCTTTCAAAAGGGTCTATTATCCGAAAAATCTTGGCTAGCAATGTCCTATTTGAATGTCTGATTTCTTATGTATAATTCAATAAATGATTTTATCCTTTGATATTTTTGAATATAATGCAATTCAACTCCAAAATTAATGATAAATTTTTTTGGAAAATTAACAGGGTTAGCTGTCGGAACAAGCACTAGATTAGCATCTTTCTTGGAATGTATTTTCAGCTTAATTATGTATAATTTAACATGTTCATTATCATTTGCAGGCGGATATATTTTTAGCACCTCAGATACATGCTGCAACTAATAAATTCAACATTGACATGGTAGTATTCAATGATCTTGTTTATATGATGTGGAGTAATAAGGGGTTATAATAAAAGAGTGAAGTCTTCTACTGCCTTGGCCAAATTGATTAGATGACTTACTTTTCTCTTATTTGTCGAAGCAGAATGAGTTTCCTATTCTCTCAAGATTACATGAGACATACTATGATATCCCAGCATTTCGGGAGGCTTCGCCAGAGAATCAGCCAGATGCTGTAGGCTAGGTAAGTCAATAAGTGACCTCTAAAGCATGTGTCTATAATCTTCATTATGCTGGTTCTTACTAGTTTTGGTTATTTTTTTGGCACAATTAGTAATTTTCAAGTGATGAATAACAGAAATGTGACCTGATGTTGGGTTGAAGAAATTGCACCAGGACCAACTGATTTAGCATTTGGTTGAATTTGTAACAATATACTATACTCTCTGTAGCAATAATGTTGCCATGTACTATTTACTATCTCCATCTCTTTTCTAAGCCTCACTTATGAATTTTCACTTATATTAAGAAAAATATGAAGTGTATTTTCTATTTTGTATATAGATGCTTCTAAAATACTATTTTCTATAGAGATATCTTTAAATTTAACGTCTTGATTTCCAAAACACTTGGTATATCTAATAAATGTACCCGTGATTCCTAATGAAATTTATATTTAGAAACAATAATAACTATTCAAGAGTCTATTTTTAGAGAGATTGAAACTTGCTGAGATTAAGCAAGGCTTGCTATGTTAGCTACTTTGAAGCTGATTTTCTATGCATTGTTGTGGCTGAGATTGAATATCTGTGGAGTTACACGTTCTGTTTGAAAGTGTATGAATATGCTATGACCCACTTTTGTAATTTTTGCCGACGTTGAAGTGAAAACTACCTTTGGATGTAATGAATCATATGAGTCTTTTGCTGTCTAAAGAACTTTGAAAACTATTTAAGAGATATAAAATGAAAAACCAATAAGGACAGGAAAATATATACAAGATTAATGTAAGTCTCAAGCAGGCAAAAGATTTTTAAGGAAAATATATATCGCTGTGTTCTTGGAATCTCAATGATTTTGTTGTGTTTGTCTATCTATCTATATAAACAACAATAGTGTAATATAAATCTTATAAATGAAATCTTAGACCATACGAGTGTCTAGATTTATACATGTATTACTTTTCTACCTATTTCTAGTTTTAGTGTAAGGTTTAAAATTTGACAAAATAACTTACTTTAATCATGTAAAGATTTATTTTGGAGTTTGTTGTGCTTTGCATAATCAGTGTTTGCAATTTTTTGGTTTATCATATATGTTTATTTTCCAAGTTATGATATGTCTATGTTACCTTTCCAATCACGGGTCTTTTAAGCAAAGACAATTTTTTATTATTGTCTATTTTGTCATGACTATTAATAAATTTCAAGACCAATAATTGAAATATGTTGATTTATTTAAAAATGTTTTTAATAATGATGAACTATATAGTTAAAAGTAAGGAAGGATTGAAAATCTTAATTCATAATAAGGTGAAACAAGATTTAGATGCAACCATAAAGGTTGTAATCAAAGAAAATTTTCAAAACATCTAATAGATAAAAAAAAAACACAAATATCAAAATGCAATTTCTATATATTTTTTTTAAGATTTTATATTTCTAACTTACTCTTTTTTTCTTTGATTAATTTATTTTTTTACTTGTGTATCATGAAGTTGTTGTCTTTATGATTTTCTTTTGATAATTTATTATTACTTTTTATCATATATTCTCTAAACTTATTAATGTATAAACAATTTTCAATTATTTATCTTGATTTATTATATTTTTTATATTGTATATCAAACAAGAAAACTAGATAATGACTATCTGCGTGGACGCACGAGTACGTTAGCAGTTTTTTCAATGTATTTGATAAAAAAAATTGCCACAATGTTAAAACATAGACTTCTAATTTGAGTATATTTAATGGTGTATGTGTTATTATTTTAAAAAATTCAATTGGTAAATTATTAAGTGTTTTTCAGTGATGTTTATTGTATTGAATGGAAATTTGGGTAATGTATTTTTTTAAATGTCATAATATGCTCCCTTCAGATACCATAAATCTATTAGTTGTGAGTCAGAGAGATATCTCATTATGCGTTTGATTGCACTGATATGTGATTCTTTTGGGGATGCTTGAAAGCATGCACACATACATACAACAAACATTATGTCATGACGGGATACAGTTATAAAAAGAAGAAATCATATCATAACTCAACATTTTATCTCTTCAACTGGTTTTCCATCTTCGTCTTTGTCTAAATAGCATGATGTTAACATTTAGTTGCTATTATTTTGGGCTTCTCCATATCAAATCTTTTCAGTAGCTCTTTACAATATTTAGCTTTATTTATAAATGTTCTCTTTTTAGTTTGATGAATTTAAAATCCTAAGAAGTATTTTAGTTCTCGCATCATTGAAACTTTGAACTCATCTACATGATTTCAGAAAATTCTCCGCACAAAGATTCATTAGTAGCATCGAACACGATATCATCAACATAGATTTAAACTAATATAATATCATGCTCATCTTTCTTGATGAAAAGAGTTTGTCCACTCGAATCTCTCTTTCTTTTTCAGGGTAGCAAAGAAAAGGAAGACCTTGTCTCCTGCATATTAAAAGAATTCAGATAGGGCTGCGAGGTGACCTGTAAGCTATTGCACCTCTTTGAAATTGGTAGGACTTCTCATGGTGATGACTACCTGATATTTATCCAAGTTGACTTTAATGCCTCTTTTCATAAGCACAAACCCTAAGAACTTTCTAACCTGAAGCCCGAAGGAGCACTTGGTGGAATTCAAGCACATATCATATTTTCTGACTGACTGCAGGACATCCTCCAAATCTTCATCATGGATGCATCCTTTGATAGTTTTTCTCTATCATTTATTCAACATAGACCTCTAAGTTCTTCTCTATTTGATGAGACAACACATCATTCACGAGTCGCTGCTAGGTGGCGCCAACATTCTTGAGGATGAAGGGCATGGCATTGTAGTGTTAGTTGCGATGATTTGACATGAAGGCTATTTTAGGGGTGTCTATGGGATCCATTTGAATCTGGTTGGACCCCAAGTATGCATCCATGAAGCTCAACGTGTGGTAGCCTGAGGATCCATCTATAAAAAGATCAATATCCAGTAGTGGAAATAGGTCTTTGGGACATATGACATTCAAGTCGGTGAAGTCCACACACATGCTCTACTTATTGTTTTCTTTCTTTACCCGTACCACGTTGGCTATCCAGGTAGGATATTTTGTTTCTATAATGAATTCGGCGTCAGATAGCTTGCCTAGTTCCTCGCCAATGGTGAACCTCTTCTCATCACCAACTTTTCGCTTCTTCCTCTGTGCCACTGGTTTGACAGAAGAGTGGATCAAAAGGTGATGACTCACAACTTTAGTGTTTATCCCAGGCATATTGGAGTAGGCCTACGCGAACAAGTCGATGTTTTTAATGAGTTGGTTGATTATCTCGCCTTTTTCTTCCTCGTTAAGAGAAATAGCTATCTTTGTCATTTGATGGGGCGAAGAGCCTATTAAGACCTATTTCAAGTCCTTTGTAAGCGTAAGCCTTTCAATGTCCGCACACAACCTGGGCCCTAAACAATTAAGATCTAGATTTGGTACTGCAGTGATGAGAGCATCTACAAGGGGAATACTTCCCTTTCTGATGCTAAGCTATTCTTATAGCATTCTTGAGCGATCTACTGTTTTCCGCGAATCATGTTGACTCGGCCTCCAGGTAGCGAGTATTTCAGAACCAAGTATTAGGTGGATATAAGTGCCCATAGTGCATTTATGGCAGGTTAACATATGATGATATTATAGAGTGATATGGTGTCTAGAATAAGGTAGCTGACGTTAATCGCCTTAGCGTGTGCTCACTCATTGCATGTTATCTCCAGGGTTACGCGGCCCTTTACTTGTACTTTTTCGCCTAACAACCCTATTAACAAGCCACTGAACACTTTGACGCCATTATGATTGAGCTAAAGTTTTTAGAAATCCTCCTAAAATAGGAGGTCATTAGAGCTCCCATGATCTTTTAAGAATTGGTTGATGTCCTAGTTGCCATGTTGCACAATGATGGCCAGAGGATCATTATCATGAGGGTTGACTGGAATAGCGTCCCTGTCAGAGAAGGTGATGTTAAACCTTGTTTCCTCCTTGTTTGTGATAGAGGAAATCAAAAGATATCACTTTTGCAGCTAGCCCCTGCCTTGCACATTTCCTAGAGGAGAAATATTTATAGAGGTCTTAGGCCTAGGGTTTTCTTGGGAAGGGTTAGCGTTCACTCAATTAATGGTAGATTGTTGAATCCTTATTTTCTAGGAAGTTATGGGCAAGCTATTAATCCTAACTTCTCTCTGCCCAAAAAAAATATTTTTCCATGTCTGGGCGAGAGGAAGGTATTGGGGCCGAGGCGATACCTCCCTGAAGGCGACATATTGTTGTCACCCTTCTTAGGGGCTGCATAGTTTCCGACTACACTAAATAAAACAAAAATAAAACAATTCATCCACCAAAATACACATAGTACTAGAAGTATTCTGACCCAGCATAAACAAATATCTAAACAAATCAAAATAGATTCAACAAAGAAGAATATGTATTCCACTAAGAAGTAAGTTAAGGGAAGAAAAAAGAACACTTACTAAACATAATTGTCACTCGACCAAAAAACAAACACATATAAACCTAAACGCAAGAGCGGATCCTGCTCCCAATCAACAAGAGAGAGGTTACAATCAGGTTAACTAAATTGAACCCACTTTTAAGAAAGACAAATAAGTGTAGTCACAAATTATTAATAGAAAAATTTTCCCTATAAAAAATAATTTTATCACGTATATTTCAAATAGTTCATACCGCTACATTCCATATCGAAGCTAAAACAAATTATTTTCTTTTACCCCACCTATCCCATATAGCACCTCAAACACTTCCAAAATCTACCAGGAAAGAGGCATCGGTCTGCCGCTGCTTAAAAATCTTATATCAAATTATGGAGGCTACATCAAAAATAAAAAACAAGTGAACCACCGATTCAGCCTAACCACTCATATCACAATCTACCCCAATGTCATCTTGAATAATGCATCACCTCCTTAGATTAAGCCTAGTTGCTAACCGGTCATGCAATAACAACCAAGAAAAGGAAGTTAAGCTTTTAGAAAGAAAAACATTATTGAAAAATTGGTCAAAAATTGGTCATGTTTCTTCGGTTGATTCCTACGAGGCGTGAAATGAGGATTAAATTCTCCATGCATAGGAAGTCAGGTCATGAAGGCTCCCTTCAAGGTGAGAACTAAAATGCTTGCATTTCACTACTGCTCTAGCTTACCACAATGATAAGAGTGATTCATCCTTTATAACTCTTGAGCGAATTAGTTTTTTTTAACTCAAAGAAGCCACGCGTTTTGAGTTTGAAGTTGATTCAAAATGTCCAACATCTCACGATAACAATATATTATAAAATAAAATAAAAAATAAAAAAACTTGAAATATATGAATACAAACAAGCACACAAATTAGAAAAGTATTTAATTAATTAGTCAAATAATGTGGAGTATCAATCGAGGCGTGAGTCACACATATTATCTCAAGCATTTATAGTACATATCAAATATATAGTAGCAATTAAATATTTGATTTACATTGTCAAACATAATTAAATATTTGAGTTGACTTGGATTCTTCTCGGAAAAATACTTTGCACAGCATCATAACACCATTTTTACACTTAAATCAATCCTACAGTCTTTGATTTTTCATCTAAAATCTCAATTAAACAATTGTGATCAAGTTTTGAACTAACAAACAATTATATAAGATGCCAGTGAATCGCGATATTGATGGTGATGATGAGTGTTTACACTACTCAGATGAAGACATCGGCATCCATTGTGGTTGCGGTTTGATTGGGTTCAAGAAAAACCAAGTGTTTGATTACAGTTTCAATAGCGAAATAGAAGAAGATGATGATGATTTATTTGAGATAAATCTGAAGAAGGAAGAACCATTGGAGTCAATAAAAGAAGAAGAAGATTATGAAAGCAGTACTGTGTTCTCTCTTGATATCCACAGCAATAAGTTATGTGATGTTGTTTATGTGGCAGTTGGAGAAAGTTTTTCAAGCATGGAAGCACTTTCATGGACCTTAAAACACTTGGTGAACCCTAATTCTACTATTGTTTATCTTGTACATGTTTTCCCTCGAGTCAAGCGAATTCCAACTCCACGTAAGTATTTCGATTACTTTTTACTTTTACTTGTTCTTCTTTTGTGATGGGTTAATAATTGAAAGATTAATAACAGTAGGAAAAATTCCAAGGAGTCGTGTGAATAGAGAACATGTTAACATCTACTTGACCCAAGTGAAAAATAAGAGGAAAATACTTCTTCAAAAATTCATTGACCTATGTACTAAATCAAAAGTTAAGGTGGAGATTTTGCTTATTGAAGATGACAACGTTGGTGAAGCTCTTGTAGAGCTTGTTAAGAATCTAAATATTAGAAAATTGGTGATTGGAACTGCAGAATCTAATTTAAGGTATTATGTTTGAAACTCATGTGTTTGATAATAGCATATTTTTACTAAATGTTTTAACTATTTGATTGATTAGAAAACATGCATCAAGAAAGCTAAATTCTACGGTGGAGATGGTGTTAAAAAGTGTAGAAGAAAAATGTGATGTTAAAATTATATGTAAAGGAAGACAAGTGGTTGATGAGATGATTAATGGAAGCACTTCACAGCATGATGAAATGGATGGTTTTGTTCCAATCAAGCGTTTCATGCCCAATCCTTTTTGGTTATTTAGGTCTAGATAAAAGACCATCACATTCATAGTCAACCACTATAATTTATATGAATCATAGATAGTCTTTTTATTTATTTATAATTTCCAGGCTACCTAGACCAAGTAAATTTGTATTAGGATTAGCAAAAATCTTGAGTCCATGGCACAAATTGGACCAAATACATACATTTATCTTGTATTAGTTAGATTTTTTGGTCAGTTTAGTAGTTCTAAAGTTGATTGGATGTTCTGCAGACTCTTTGTACTAGTTTTCTTTTGCTCTTCCTTTATATTTGAGTTGAGTATATCTTGTGTTCGTTTTAATAAAATCTTTTGTTTATATAAAAAAACAAAGGCTGTCCAAAAAATTAGGAAATTATATCTTAATTTTAAAAATTGAATTTGGTTAAAGTATGTCTGAGTAATGAAGAGTGAGAAAGTATATTTTGAAATTGTCAAGTGATTATAAAATATAAAAACAATTTGGTCGGAGAGGTTTTCTAAATATTAGATTTGGTCGGTTCAATTTTAAAATCCGTTCATTGATGTTAGAATATTTTATATTAATTTAAAGATGCTCTAAATTAATTAAAAAAATATTATAAAATATTTATGATATTTTATATTAATATAAAAGATATTATAAGATATTTATACTATTTTAATTATTATAAAAGATATTATAATATATTTATAATGTTTTTTATTCTACCCATTAATGAGTTGTGTTTTTCGTCCATTAAAAATTCATTGATTTTAAGCCGTTATAAGTATGTATTTCTATTATTTTTGTCTTTATAATCTTTAGAATTTTATCAACTAAAGACAGAGAGAAGAGTGTGCAAATCCTAGTGATAATCTTAGAGAGATGGGTAGAGAGAATTCTAGTGGTATTCTAATTATCAAAGGGGATTGAGAAACACTTCCAAACACCTTAGGTTTGTGTGATTCATATATTGAGAGTTTGAGAGATTGAGAAATACTTGGAGAAAATAGAGTTTGTTTTTGAAAACTTGGAAGACTATTCTCATGTAACTCATTTGTAATATCTTGTAATAACTTTTGAAAATATAATGAATCAAAGAGTTGTTTTCTCCTCCTGAGTAGATCGTTTGATCAAACTAGGTAAATATTTTTTTGTGTGTGTTTCTTTCCTTGGTTTATCTTCTTTTGCCAGTAAATTCATTGTCTTATTGCATTGAAGACTTATTTTTGGTGAATGTCATTTATTTTGGTTGCCATTGTTCTTTGATAGTTTTTCATCTTTTTTTATAGGTAATAATGCATGGTTGAAATATGGATCCATTTAAGCCAAGAAGGATGCTTCAAGATGCAGTTTTGGCCAACAATAAGTTATCCTTCGCGCTTAGCGGGAGTTGCAGTGCACTAGGAGAATTGGTTGGCAGAAGCAACCAATTTTGGGAAACTAACCGCGCTTAGCGCAGTATAAGACGCTTTGATAGTACTTTAAGTGATATAGTGTTTAACGCGATCTGAGTGCACTTAGCGGACCTGTGATTTTTCAGTTTGTATAAATATCACTCATTCATATTTTAAGGCATAGTTTTAGGGATTCTTACACCTAACTCCATAAAAACATTCCTTTGGATAGAGAGACTTATAAACAATAATAAAAGTTGCATCTTAACGATTCGGAGCTGAATTTGTGATAATCGTCTTGACACCTCATCACTGGTTTAATTTCGCTCTTCTCTTTGTATTTTCTATTTGTTGGGGTTTTGTATGTAAGTTTATCTTGATTGTATGTATATTTATTGATTATGGTTGTCATATACAATCTCTTTTACATATCTATATCGATGTTATCCTTGTTTACTAGCTTGATGTTTGAATTTGAGTTGTTATAGACATATACTCTTCAGATTCGGATCTAGGATGAATATCAGTTAGGTTCTAAACTCTAGAGATAGATTTAGGTCTAATATTCATATTGGGTATCGGCTCTTAATGCTCTGTGTTATTGAGTTGCGTGAGACATCACTGATGAGATAATAAGATTGTTCTCTCAACTTTGCGTTAGACAAAACCTCTAATGTCAGCGATACGTGATAATATTGACGAGTGATTTGGGTTGTGTATAATTGGTCGGTAGATTTAAGTATTTGATAGGGTAGATGAAATTCAATTCCTGACGAGTTCTCTTCTCTCTAAAGAATGTAATTTTAACTTGCTCATATGGTTTAGTTTCCATATTTTATGCTTTTGAACCATTCAAACCAAGCTTAGAAACATAGAGATTATTGAACGACATTCTTTCCCTTGCACCGATCCCTGTAGAAACGATAAAAACCTGGAGGGAATTCTTCCAAATATTTCGCTTCTTGCCGCTATACTAAAGTTTGAAAAATTACCCAGATCCTTTGAGCACTTTAAATATATCCTTCTTTATGGTAAGGAAGGTAATATTACTTTGTATGAAGTTCAAACGACTACGAGATCCAAAGAATTTTCAAAGGTGAAAGATTTAAAGATTGATGATAGTGGTGAAGAAATGAGTATCTCAAGAGGAGGAAGTGAATGTAAATGGATGTCCAAATAAAAGATGTTTGATAAGTAAAAGGAAACATGTTTTACTTGTCAAAAGCCATGTCATGTCATAAGAGAACGTCCCGAGAAGAGGGGCAATGCCGATTCTGCTTAGATTGTCATTGAAGGTGAGAAAAATACACAAGAAGGGGGATTGAATTTTGTATTCATTTTCTTTACTTTGCTTCCGAGAAGAGTTTAGATTATATCCACTATTCGGATTCTGGTAATTAACTGCAGTAGAATAATAACATAGACAAATAAATAACAACAAAACACACAGAGAGATTTATACTAGTTCCTCCCATATTGAGAGTAGTTCAGTCCCTTTGCAACACAAGAGATTTTCCACTATAATCAAATCATAATTACAATTGTTTATACCCTTAACACAAGACTTTACTGCTTAGACCCTCAACCAAGACTTCCTGCTTAGACCCTTAGCCCAAGAATTCCTATTTAAACCCTAAGGTTCAATACTTCCTTGCTCAAGCCCCTCGGGCTCAAACTTCTACTCAGACCCTCGGTCCAAGACTTTCCTGTTTAAATTCCACGGATCGAATACTTTTACTCAAATCCCAAGGATTCAAGACTTCTGCTCATACCCTTCAAGTACAAGACTTCCCTGCTTACATTCCACAAATCCAAGACTTATGCTCAGACCTCCAGTCCTAGACTTTCTTGCTCAATCAACAATTAATTAAGACTTCAATGCTCTAGTACATAATAGTAGACTTAGTTGGCTCAAGCTTCACAACAAGAGACTTTGATGCTCAAGCACATAGCAAGAGACTTTATCTAAACTACTAAATAACTTATTTAGCATAATAGAGAACAAAGTGTACTTGATACATAATCAGAGGTACATGGCAATAACCATAACAAAGATCACAATACTTAAGATTTATAAGATATTTAATGTTTAAGAAATATTAAGCCTTTGTAAAATTTACAACATATAACAACAATTATGCATACTCAATTGTGTTGTTATTGTTGATCTTGTTATTATTCCATTCTGATAGAAACGAGGAACACTTTTATCCTTCTTAGCTCCTCTTCTTTTTACTCTTTATTCCTTATTTTTAAAATCTATGTTGAATCTTCAGCTACTTATATAGTAGTTTCAAAGGAATAGCCATTGGAAGAGATAACTTGTATAAGTGTCTTTGTTACTCCATAGTATAAGAGACGTTGAAGATAAATATACCAAAAAATCTTGATCCATTGTGTAACTTGTTTAAGCATTACGTATTTCTTGAGATCTTGTACTACAGATCCATTGAGAGTAGATATCTATAAAGCATGTTAACTCTTCTTGAGCCTTGTGAATAAAGACTCTAGCTGACAGTAGATTTGATAATGTAGCTTACTTTCTGCAGTATGGATAACTTTAGCTTTATCGTTGGTTCTGAATGATCATCAGAAGCTGATACATTCAATAAGCTTATAGGCAATATATCATTCTTCTGATGTTGAGACCTTCAACTTTAGAGTCTACGCAAACCTATATTATCAGTATTCACTTAAAGAACGTCCTTTAGATTCTGAGCCACCAGAAGCCAAATACTTAGCTTCTCTTAAGTGCGTCCTTATATCAGATTCTGAATGTATTCTTCTTTAAGCTTTAGAAACGGCACATTTGGAATACATATTAGATAACACCATTGTTCTTTCAATACTTTGTTATCATCAAAACCCATAGGATATATGTCGTGAACAAATCTTGTTCTAACAATCTCCTCCTTTTTTTTATGATGACAAATATAAGTATTTAAAGAATAATGTTGGACTATTTTAATTTTCTTGGCAATGTTAGAGTCTGAGGTTTGTAAGCTCCCTCTGAGTCTAATAGTCAAAGGTTGAGTTTTGTAAGCTCTCTCTAAGTTCTATATTTATGAAAACTAAAATATATCAATGTTGGGCTATTTTAATTTTCTTTGCAACATCAGATTTTAAGGTTTGTAAGCTCCCTCTGAGTCTAATAGTCCAAGGTTGAGGTTTGTAAGCCCCCCTTAGTTATATATACAAGAATACTAAAATATATTTTAATTTAGTTGGCAGCATTAGGGTTTGAGGTTTGTAAGCTCCCCCCGAGTCTAATAGTTCAAAGGTTGAGGTTTATAAGCTCCACCTAAGTTCTACTATCAAGAAAACTAAAATATTTTTCCCGGGTAATAACAGAAATAACATAAATTTAAATAATTAAAATAAACCACATTAAATTAAACAACATTAAAATAGAATGGGTTCAAATTCTCTATTAAAAACTTTTATATCTTTCTCCCCCTTTGTCACATCAAAAAGAAACAAAAGAAATACATTCATAAATGCAAAGAAGTCCTTAATTAAAAAAGAATTTTATTCCATCGTTTGGGTCACCCATACTCCACTATAAAAGCAACCAAAGCGTATGTCATTTTCATCAACATCCTTCAACGCAACATGAAGTCCTTAATTAAAAGTATCAACATCTCTACCATA